TTTCCTCCCTCCTTTCCTTCCTCTTGTCTCTTTGTCTCTTTTTTCTGAGGAAGCCCTACCTTATACAGTGTCTCCCCAAACTGTCTATATTCTGCCAATTTGTAAATCCCTCTCCTTTCCCACTACTTGTGTGTCCCCACCCAGACTCCTGTCTCAAGTTGCAGTGGCCTCTTCCTCTTGCTTCCTCATTTCCCCTCCTGAAATCCTCCTAGCCATTCCCCCCACTTGCTACCTTTAGTTTGCAAATGGGAGCCCATCCAGACTTTTCTCTGCCCAAGGCATTGCTCAGGGATTACAATCCTCACTTCTCACCACAGCCTGCTTGATTGGGCCATGAGGCTTCCCCTGTGACCATTGGTCACTTAATCTGCTTCCACCATAGCAAAGTGCTGTGGCTTAGAGATGCTCCTTCTTCCTTCCCTGATGCTGCATTTCTCACTCTCTGGGACACTGTCCTTGCAGAACTTCCCAAGATTCTCTTCAGTCATGTCCTGGTCCCTTCAGTAGGGTCACCTCTTGTGCTCTGTAAAGTTTCAGAAGTGAGTAAATTGATAATGAAGTGAATTCATTTCACCATGGTGTGTGCCAGGCACCAAAGATTTAGGCATGGAGCAAGTGGACAAGGAAAGGTCCTGCCATCAAAGGGTTGGATCATCATTTTGGGGAGAGATGGCTCTGTGTTTGCAGATCCTCTGAACGCTGTGGGTAGCCCATGTAGGCTGGATCTGAGTCCTATCTAAGAAGATAGGTTGAGGATGAAAAAATGTGGGTCCTTGTGGCAAAGAACTAGATTTTAGGAACCATCAAAATACATTTTCTGAGCCACTATGGACTTTCTGTCACTTTCTGATCTCTGGGCTCCTGAGGCCAGGACAGAGGCCCATACTCACTATGAAGGATTTTGGAGGTTATACTTACAGGGTGAATAAGATCCAGTTCTGCTGCATTTGGGCCACAAAAGAAATAAAGACGTGAGAGAAAAAATATCTTTGTGAGGAAGTCAGGAGGCTTCACTGGAATGAAGCTTAAAACTAACTTAACCTGCCAGTTTTATTTGAGAAAGCAAAAAAGGCAGTGTATTCTGCTGAATAAGGGTGCACAATTATGCTGAATTGTTACCTTTAACAAATTGTTCCCTGATTGTTTCTCCTTCTTTCACCAGCAAGGCTTGCCTCTCCTCAAGCTGGTAAAACACTTCATCTTCAAGTTGTTCTGACTCCTTAAAGTTGGTAGTTTTCTGTGCTCTGAGTCAGCGTTGTGGGTACCTTGGTTCCCCTCAGCCCACTGATGGAAAGACTCCAATGTTCCCACTTCTTCTAGAGCCTTCCAACCTCACAAAACAGGCTGCCCACAACTTCCCAGCTCCTGCAGTCCAGCTATGGTGTCTCCAGTCTCCCCCCACCCTCTGTAAGTGGCAGGACTATTAGGTTTTTCAGCGCACTAGAGAAGGAGAAGTAAAAGAAAGGGAAGTAAAGGCCTTTATTGCCACTGGGGAGGACACAGAAATGATTGATGGGGATCCTCTGACCTGAGACAGGGAGACTGAGATTATGGACTTGATAGGGGCAGAGTTTGAAGGACAGATTCAGTGACTCTCAAGGAGCTAATTGGGGGCTCCCTTATGTGGGCAGGAAAGATATCTAGGACTGGCTGGGGTGGGGAAAAAGTAGGAAGTGGTCATTGGGACCATAAGCTGTTGTTTTTGGGATTCAGCCATGTTGAATCAGGGCCATGATAATTTAGCAGTTTGTACTCAGGCCAGAACCTACAGGTGTATAAACCTAGCAGGCAGATACTTTCTCCAGGAAACCTTCTTTGGCTTCCTCTTTTCTCTTATTCCACAGAACATATCTTCTTTTTATTTTTATATCTTCATGGATCTATCCACCCATCTATCCGTCGATCCATAGATCCACAGATTGATCAATCAATTGATCAGTGGATCCACCAATCCAGCCATCCTTGTATACAACCATCTATCCATGGGTTCATTGTTCATTCAATACACTTTCACTGAACACTACTATGTACTTAGCATTTATTCACAGAAGTGAGCAAGGATGTGGCCCTCAACCCCAGGGCTTAAAGCCTAATAAGGGAAAGAGTCCTGATGTAACTAATTATAAATTAAAACTTTAACACAATTATGATAAATCCTGGGGCTATGGAGTGTTTGAAATGTGGTTAGTGCCTCTGGGCAACTGAATTTTAAATTCTGTTTGATTTTAACTAATTGAAATTTAAAATTTAAAATTAAAGCAGTATAATGGTTGTGTTGCTCCTTGTTCCACAAAGCATTTTTATTTTTAAGAAATTCAAAAAATTAAAAAGAGAAAGCATGTTTATGGTGGCACATGCCTGTAACTGAGGTACTTGGGAGACCGAGGCAGGAGGATTGCCACAAGTTCAAGGCAAGCCTGGGTTATATAACAAATTCAAGAACAACCTGAACTACCTAACAAGACCTTATTTCAAAAAACAAACAAAACAAAACAAAAAAGCATGTAAATTATCACAATATTTTTATTGCTTGCATGTTGACATGATACAACTGAATACTGCATTAAATGTTGTATTAGTAAATATTAATTTCACATTTTAAAATCTTTTAAATGTAGACTGTGTAAAATCTAAAATTCTATGTGTGGTGCACACTATATTACTAGGATAGAGGTCAGCCAGGTGCAGGACACAGGACAAATTAACAGGGAGAGGAGATGTGAAGGATTTGGAGAAGCTCACACTTGTTAGGATGGAAACTTATATTTATTAGATTCCTAGTTTATGAACAAAAGTCCAGATTCTATGTGCACAAGGTTTAGACAGTACTAGATAGACACCATCAGTCTCTGGTTACAGATGTAGCATCAGAAGTTTGGGGAGGTAAAATCAGTTGACCATAGTTTGGTGCTGGTCAATCCCTTAGTCAAACAGTTGAACTTGGCAAAGGTGCCCACCTGCACTGGATTTATTTATACCTCTGTACACTGATTTCAATTCAACTCTGTCAAATTTCTTTTTTCTGATCTTCTGTCCCTCAGACATAGCTCATCATTTCTGGACTCTTGCAGAAATGTGCCCTATAATGCTGAGTGAATGAATGACACTGAATGGATAATTTCTCTAAACTGGGAAATAGCCATTCTGTTGGGGCCTGTTTAAGGTCCAGGTCTAACTAGCTCAGCATAAAACACCAACCTTCAGTTTAGTGCCTACCACCTCTTGTCAACTTGGCCAGTGCTGCCCTGGATCTCTACTGAAGAATGTGGAGGGGTACAGGTGAGGTGTTTTATGTTCCTCCTTGCTTCCCTGTGGAGGTCTCTGCCACTTTCTGGTGTAGTGAGTTCTGGGAGGGAAGATGAGGAAGAGTGGACCTCTTCCCCTCAGCAGGGTTTTATTGACTGGGGGTGGAATGGAGAAGCAGCAGCCTGGGGTTGGGGGTGTGGGGGCTACTGATGGGAATCTGCAGGAGGGCTGTGCATGTGCACATGCATATGTGCAAGTGCTTGCGTGGTGGAATGACACTGTACAGCCTCCCCAAGGAAATGGTGCAGTTTTACAGCACTGATCATGGAATCTGTGTAGCCACAGAGTGAAGTTCCAGGCTTTATCCCTGTCCTCCCTTACAGACCTTTCAAAAGACCTCTCCCCTTGCCAGTTTGCATAGAGCAAGTTCAGGCTGCTACTCTACCACTGGTCTCTTTTCAGTTCCCCTTTTTCTTGCACAGGGGAGCATGACGCTAGACCAACAAGTCTATGCCTGCTGCATGGAGAAAGAGCAGCCAACTTCTTCAGGCACTGGTCTCTGGGAGTTATCTTCTTGGAGATCTTTGCCTGGCTGGGCTGTAGGGGAGGCTGGGAGAAAGGGGAGCTCTGTAAAACCCCTCTCCCACCACATCATGGCTGTTAACCTTTCACACTTCTCCAAATTAGCTGAATGTGTACCCACAAGTGCTGGGAACTGCTCCATCTTCAACCCTGAGGATCCAAAAGGCCCATTTACAATGCAGTCCCTGCTGTGCCCAGCACTGTGCTGACCTCTGGGTATAGCAGGGGGAAAAATTTGTGGCAAGCTGTTTTTTTCATGGGACTAACAAAACTAATCAGTGTATTTATCTGCATGTCAGGATGAGCTGTCAGGATTCCGGATGAAGTGAGGTTGGAGAGAGACCCAGGAGTGGGTGCATTCATCAGCAGATCAGGGAGCCAAGCAGCTGCATTTCAATTCACTTTTTTGCAGCTGGAAGTCACTAGATGATCCCTGGTAGCAGGAAAGGCCCATTACATCCTGTGTGAGCGTAGGTAAGTGAAAGATCTGCAGTTAGGTTTTGAAGTCCATGCTCACACCTGTAATCCAGCACTCCATGAGCTGAGGCCGGAAGACTGCAAGTTGGAGCCTAGTTTGAGCAACTTAGCAGTTTATTGAGCCCTTGTCTCAAAATAAAAGAAACTAAAAATGATCTGGGGATGCTGCTCAGTTTGAGGCCCTGAATTCACTCCCTAGAAAGGAGGTACTGGAAGTTGTGGGGTCCATGCTCTGTGTTTGGTCATATTTGTCCAGGCTCAGTTTTCCTGCCTTACTAGGACCACCACAGATTCATTCTCTGTTTCCAAAAGCTGTCCCAGGGGCTGGGAGAGGGCAGGCTTTCAGTGGTGTCTGCTCACTGTGGAGGAACCTCAGAGAGGGTGGATCCCCAAAGCTCATGGCATCAGGGCTGGCTCTGTGGCTGGAAGCTCTAGGTGGAGCTTGTCTGGATCATGGGCACCAGAAGCAGCAGCCACTTCCTTAACTGTGAATTAGTGGTCTAGGTGGTGCCCTTTGCCACAGTGACCACTTCTCTCTGGTTCATAGCTCTGCTCCTGGCCTGACGGGGGGGTGGACATCAGGAGGTATAAGGCAGCCCTAGGCTGACAGAAGACTAGGTGGTGGCTTCCAGACTGATCAGAGCCTTACCCAGGTTGTGGCCAGCTCAGATCAAGGGTACAGTGGGGTTCTCAGCATGTCTCCCACACCTGGGCAGACCCTGTACACCCTCTTGTTCATCCTTCTGCTGGGACTCACAGGTGAGTTCTGTGTCCTGCCCACCAGACCCTCAGCACAGAGACCTTGGGATTGCCAAGTGCAGCTCCCTACATTGCAGGTGGGTGACAGACCTACAGGACATGGCTGAGCCCTTTCCTGCCCACCAGCTGGTGTTTTGCCTCTCTTCCTGTGTGTGGACCTTGTGGGAAAAGGGTGGGAGCTTGGGAATCAGAGGAAGAAGACATGACACAGGAGAGGGGACTGGGTGAGGCCAGGTGGTGAAAGAGGATCCCCCAGTATTATCTGATTGGAATTCTGGCTTGGGTCAGGGAGTGTGTGCAAATGGGAAGGACAGGCAGAGAGATGCCCTGAATGATGAGTCCTGGACTAAGTCAGACTAACTCATTCACCCCTCATCACTGATAGGCTGTGCATCCTTAAGAAAGTCACTAAGGCTTTCTGAGTATGTCTCCCTTTCTAGGAAGTGCAAATAACAATAGCAACTTCCGACAATAGGACTGTGGGTAAAATAAGCATATGCACCTGGAAGTGCTTATAAACCATAGTGAGCTGTGAGCAGGTAGGGGATAAGAGGGAAGCACAGTGCCTGAGTACCAGAACTGTGGGCTGAAGGGACACATATCCACAACCTTTCTGAGCTGCCCTTTGCTGCCTCTGCCCGTGTTGTCATTTCTGGTGTATATGTCTGTCTTCCATCCCTGCTTCCTGATCTTGAGGCTCCTCAAGATCCAGGGTCCTGTCTCTGCAGCCCCTGTGCTCAGCTCTCAGCTTGGTGCAGAGCAGTGGTTCAGTACACAGCCATGCTGTGCATGTTTGGAGGGCTGTCCTTAGGAGAAGGGACAACTCTTGTTCTACAGTTTTCCTGGGATGACTCTAGGAAGCAGAAATGAAGTTAGGAGCAGGAAATATTCTGGCACAGTCCCGACTACAAGGTGAATGCCACTTCCTAGTGTGGAGAAAAATCCTTGTCATCTGAGGTGAACAAATGAGGCAAGAATGCCTTGATTGGTGTTGACAGGAGAAACCCAACTGGGAGGGCCAACTATTCTTGTTGACTCCACATTTGAGACATTATACATTTATGTCCAAAATGGACATTGTGACTCTTGGCCATTCCTGTCTCTATGTGGTCATTATTTAATTCTCATCATCTAAAGAATAGAGCCACCATCTATCCAGTCCAGAATGCCTTCTACCCCTCATGCTCCACTTACCCCACTATCATTCTGTGGGCCAGATCTTCCAAATATATTTCTAGTCCTTCTGTTTCTCATTATCCCAAGCAGGTTACTGTCACCTCAGCCTCCCTGATTGACTCCTTGCTCCCTTCCACCTTCTGCCCTGGCTTCTCTAAAATCATAAATGAGATTGCCTTGAACCTGTGTTTAAAGTCTCTGTTTAATAGCTGTGGTCACACAGAATGGAGTCACAATTGCTACCATGTCCCACAGGACTTCTTTCTGTCAAGGCCTCTTGACCACTCACACTCAAATCCTACAGCTTTCTTGGTTTCTTGGGTCTTCTAAGTTGTTCCCATTGGAAGCCCTTTTTACCTGCTATTTTTGCCATCCAGAAAGATCTTCCTGGACCCTTCCACATGGCTGGTTCCTATTACTTTATCAATTTTAGCTTAAAATATATTTGTTGGATCATGCTTCCAGAATGAGTACTCCTAGCATCTCTGTGTTCTTTGGGTTTTCCAAGAACACTGAGCCTGAGGTATGACTTGATCTGTATTTTCTATTTGATGCTATCTTTTCGTGAACTCTCTGAGGCTGGAACCAAGCACATGATAGATAGTAAGTCCCTGGGGCCTTTATACCATGTGTCTCTCTTGCAATCTGAGTGCTGGATGTGCCCCACTCTCCGTGTATAGACATAATCACTGTCTTTTGCAGCTGGGCAGCCCTTCATTTCTCTGATGGGCCTATCTCAGAGGATAATTCCAGAAATATCAGAACCTTTCAATTGTACTGCTGGCCCCTTCAGCTCTGGGGACTTCAATGTCACCTGGTTTAAGAACAGTGATGAACATCCAGCCTCAGCCCACTATGAAGCGGCTGATGCTAATGGCACTTACTCCATTACCAGCAAGGCATGGGTGACACTGACTGGAGAAGATGTATTGTCTCAGATCACGTGTGAAGTCACTCACAGAGACCTTGAGGAGCCCCTGAGAATGACCATGAACCTCTCCCAAGTGCTTTACAGTGAGTAGGCTGCGTAGTGTGCTTGTGTGTATGGGTATCCTAGCAGCACTGGCTTGAGGGTTTTTGCCCAAAGCCTCATTTAACAAATGGAGTTCTGAAATTCTACATCACCACCCCTTACTATGTATAGAGATAAAGGAAAACACAGAGGCTGACTGTATGCCTGGGTTTTAATCTCAGCTGGGCCACTTCACAAGTTGTGTGACCTTGGGAACATTTTTTTTCTTTTTATATTTTAAAGAGAAAAAACCAATAAAAACAATAATAGAATTTCAAAATAAGATAATGGAAAATTAACAGTGGTTATTATACTGCATATTGCTATCTTCAAAGTAGTTGCTCAGATTACAACATATATAAAGCACCTGCAAGCAGGCACAAGGTTTGGGTGTTCTATCCCTGGCCATGTAGGCCCCGCCCCCGGGGCACGCTGAGACGGCAACTGAGACTGGGCGTGGTGGTGCGCGCCTGTAATCCCAGCTCTTGGGAGTCTGTAAAAAGGTGGATCACTATGAGTCTGATCTAGTAGTGAGACCCTGAATACCCTGTAGATGCTTCCCTAAAAAAATACAAAAAAATTACAAAATATATGCATGAATAACTGATCAAACAATATAAAAAATTAACTAATAATTAGTAGTACAGTTATCTCAGCTATCTGGTGTATGTATATATATATGTATATATATGTATATATATACATATATATATATACATATTGTTCCCCCATGTATATAAAATATACATTTTATATACATATTGTTCCCCCATTCCAGTTATTCTTTCTTTTTGAGCAGTTTCTTTCCCTTTCACGATATATATTGTGTACTGCATATAGTTGCTTTTTCATTTTTTTTTTTAATGCTCGGGAGACAATACAATAATTACACATGCAAGTCTGATTGATTTCACTTAGAGTATGGTCTTGAGTTGCATCTATTTATTTATAAAATTTACCCTTCTTTATAGCTGAGTAGTACTCCACTTAGCTGCTATAAATATAGGTGTATATATTGTGTGTTTTTTTCTGGGAAAATACCCAGAAGGGATAGTGAAGTCAAATGTGACTTCTAATCCTAGTTTTGTTGAGGAATCTCCACAGTGATTTCCACAGTGGTTGCACCAATACTCCCACCAACGTAAAGAAGTGTTCCTTTTTCCCCATAACCCCTCCAGCATTTGTTATTGGTTGGTTTCTTGATGATAGCCATTCTTTCTTGGGTGAGATGAAACTTCAGTGTTGTTTTAATTTGTATCTCTCAAATGACCAGTGATGTTGAACATCCTTTCATATATTTATTTGCCATTTACATTTCTTCATGAGAGGTATGTATTAATCTCAGATGTTGGGTACATTTCTTAACTTTTTTATGCCTCAGTTTCCTTGTAAGGTGGGAATAAAATTAAGACTTACTTTGCAAGTTTCCTCTATAAACTAAGCAGCTTATTCTTTATGTAACACAAGGCCTGGCACACAGCAAGCTGCTTGTGGGGATCTGGCCTTCTTATCTGGCTTCATTCTCCCTTTTCAACCGGCCTTGTTCAACTAATAAAGGTGTGATAAAAATATAACAAATATTTAAATAAAAATTTTATTATAGTAAAAGATACCTTGCTATTAATTCCTCTCAAGACACTCCTCCTTGTTCAAACACACTTACTCCATTGCTCTTGCCACTTTCTGAAGAGGTTCTGGAAGTCCTTTTTCGTGTATATGAGCTGTAAAAAAATTTACAAGGAATGCTGCTGCCAAGTGTCCGTGAGTGGAAAAGCAGGCTTGCAGAAAAAGTATGGTGCGTGCTCATGCACCTCGTTCACTGGCTCTGGCACCATGAAAATTCTAGCCTTCTTCAAACTCAAACAAAAGGACTCTCAGAACTTTTTTAGAAAGGGGCAAAAATAATGGGATAAGTTTTTTTAAATTGAGGGAAGTATTTTGAGGGGCAGTAATTAAAATGTATCTTTTAAAATGTATCTTTTTTTTTTTTTTTTTTTTTTTGCGGAACCGGGGATTAAACTCAGGCCCTTGTGCTTGCCAGGGAAGCGCTTATTCCACTGAGCCATCTCCCCTTATAGAATTTTTTTTTGTAATACATTTTAAGAATTTAAACATTTACCATATTTCTCAATCACACTAATACCACTGCTATTGCTTTTTAATTCTAAATATTTATTGTTCATACAATAAGTAATGAATACCCACTGTATGGCAGGTACTACTCTAGGTGCTGTGTGTACAGTAATGAGCAAAATTAAGTCTCTGTCCTAATGGACATTGTATTTTAATAATTCTTACAATTAAATGTATGGAAAAGAATAAACCATATGCCTGTGTACCTCCACCCATATTTAATAGATATTAATACTTGTCACAGCTTGCTTTACATTGTTCTTAGAAAGAATGAGAGATCTTGAGCCTGGCCCCTTGGCAGGCAGGGCTAATTTCACCAGTTTAGTTTCTGTTTCTCTGTCTAGTTATTCCCTCCCTTAGTATCACCAAGTCCTCTGAGACCTACGACCAAGATCATCAGAGAGTGAATCTCACTTGTCATGTGAGCCGTTTCTACCCCTCCCGCCTGCAGCTCATTTGGATGAAAAATGGGCATAAGATCCTGGAGGAATCTCCTGCGGTCAGAAGCAACCCGGATGGGACATACTCTTTGGACCACATATTGCCAAAGGAGACCACACTGGACGGCAGTGAGTTTGCATGCTGGGCAGTCCAGGGTGACCGGGCCCCAGTCAAGGCAGTCATCACAGTGCAGGGCTCCAGCAAGAGCAAAGGTGAGTGCAGCTCTGGCTCAGCCGCTTAGTGCAGCAAAGTGAAAGCCCAGGGCTCAGAGCAGCGCAGGGATGATGCCCTAGAGGATAACACTCCCAGCCACTTCCAAAGTGTGTTCTCTCTCTCTCCACCACACCCCAGCGGAAAGGAGTGCTCTTCCCCGCCATTCCATGCACTTTTCACATGGAAAATTTTCCAAGTTACCTAACACTTGGCTGTGAGACAGTTGAAGGACAAAAATCCCTTCCTTCTAGGAAAGCTGTTAGTCAAGGGTGGTTCAGTTGAAGTTTCTGGAAGTCAGCTTTAAAGCGAGGCCGGAAGCCTTAACTGCCTTAGCTGGGAAGGAACGTGGCTGTAGGCCCTCTTCACGCAGGGTAGGTGCAAACCCTTCCTTTTTGTCTTGCTGCTGCGGTTCCTCTTCCCTTTCGCCTCCACCTTCTAACCCTTCTCATCTGACTTTTGTGGCCTTGAAAAGATTTCTTCCACCAGGGAGCGCTGCAGGCTGGTATTTCAGACCGAGAAGGGTGCAAGCTGGCTTTCTTTTGGTCTGGTTCTGACTGTCTTGGAGGGGAGAAGTACTACGGGCCAGGAGGGGCTGGGTGTACGTGCCTTGTGAGGGGCGATGTGATGGCTGGGGAGGGATGGGCGAATTTAGAGAAAGCCAGCATTCGAGGCGACAGCTGTCCAGTGAATCACAGCGGGAAAGGAGGCTTGTTTTGTTTTGTTTTGTTTTGTTTTGTTTTGTTTTGTTTAAACAGATGGTATGCCTCCGTGCAGTGTAGTGAACAGATAGCTTGGTACACTATTAAAGACAGGGTGGAGGGATGTGGTCTTCACAGAGGAGGCTTCTACCCTGCCCTCTCTCTCTCCAGACAGAATTGTCCTTTATTTGCCCCCAGTAGAAATTCTTAGGGGGAAAAAAAAAAAAGAAATTCTTAGGGCAATGATCTCATTCACCTTTAAATCTCCCCCCACTCCCAACAGAAAAAAAAAAACTTCCAACCAGCAGATCTGAGTGAAAAACTTCAAACTGTTCCTTTCTTGTGGGAAGCAAATTGCATTAATAATTTATTGACTCATGCTGAGTTTTCTCACCTCTGTCTTACTCTCCTTCACCTCCATACAGAATCTCTGGCCTGTGGATGCAGAATGAGCCATGGAGAGCATCGCTTTGATGATAGTGCTACCTATGCAGCTTTATGAACTCCAGAGCTGCAGGGAGAGGGCAGCCTACACCTCTTCAGGCACCCAGACCTCTTTCTATTGGGCATTAACACACCTTTGAGGGGAAACTTCTTTAAGCCTCCCTAAAAGACTCTTTATCAGCACCTTGTCCCCTGTACATTCAACCCTGTGCACTGTTCTTATTTGCTAACAGTCACAGAGCATTATCTTATCCATGTGGTTGGGTCCTGTGACATCTGGAAGGTAGCATAGGACTAAGATCTCAGCAATCTTAGCATCTTAGGATAGCTTAGGATGCAGCTGTCTGTTCAGAAATTCAGTGTGTTTTCCTGTAATTTTTTCTTCTATCCTACCAGAGAATGAAAACTTTAGTGTTCTCTCAAGTCTCTTCTCAGATCTGCATCTGAAATATACTATTTTGGATATTCATTTCTCCTGAACTGTCACAGATGTCTTCACTATTCAGTTCACACAATTGGTGCTTAAACTATGGGGTTTTCTGAAAGCTCCTAGCCTGCGGTTTTATCACACTATGAATAGTTCCCCATGTCTGTGAAACAGGAGAAGCACCTTATACTTGGAGGTGGCCACATTTTGAAGTTTCAAGGACCAGTATCACAGTACAGGGCTTCCCCTGCCCATCTGTGTGACCTCAAGCAAAGCAGCTGTCTTTCTGAGTCATCAGTTCTGTGCAGTGGTGATTATTACTCCTATCTTGTTGAGACCCATTGAGGTTTGTTTTTCTTAGCTCCTGCATGGTATCTGGACAGTGGGGTCCATAGTCAGGGCTTTAAAATTATTGTTTACAATCTATATAATGCAAGAAAGGTAAACATCACTGATCAATATAAAGCCAGCAGAAACAGCCATGATGTATCAGGAAAACTCTTGGCTTGAGGTCAGAATTCCTGGGTTCCATGGTCAATTCTGTTCTCTGTGAAGCCATGGATTAAGTCTGTAACCCTTTCTGAGCCTTTTCTTTCTCTGGTCAGATTAAAAATAGAATGAGGAACAATTCCACAGACAGTCCTTATGCCTGATGCGTATAGTTGCCATTTGTGGTGTCATTAGCATATACCAACCCCTTTACTTAATTTACTAACTCTGAGAATTAAGGATCATCCCCACCTTACAGATAAGAGACTGAGAGTTAAGTTGTTCGGGCTCACCTAGGGGAGGCTCAGAAATGTAAAGTTGGGCTCAGTGGGCTTCCAAAGTCCATATTCTAACCTCTTCCCATGACCAGCCTGTGAGCAGTAAGGGATCTCCCTTTTTAAGGGACCAAGGACAGGGCTGAGTGGTGATCAGTGACACAAACCCTGGGACCAGACTAACTGGCTCAGAGCCTGTAGGCTGTGCTGTGGGCTACCTTTGACCTGGACAAATATTCAGCCCCTGGAAATCAGTTTCCTCATCTGTGGAATGGGATCTCTCTAGCAGGTTTGCTGTGAAAATTCAGTGAATTGGGAAAGATCCCTTGAGCAGGATGTGATACAGATGCTTGCTGTGTGATGCTGGCCTCCCTATAGACTGAGTGGTCTGCTGTGGCTTCCCATCTAGTCTCTGACAACAGCTTCAGTTCAAGCCTATCATCAGAGAACATTTAAGCCCCATGGCAGGGAAGCAGTAGAAATTCTGAAGATTTATTCATTCAGGGATTCAAGCATCTATGACATAGACTTACAATTGTTTCTTCTTGCAGGAAGGATATTACCAGAAAGGATCTCTGACAAATTGGAAGGCCCCCAGCAGCGGTTTGAACCAGGCACAAGCATCCAATTGACATACACATTATTCCGATTATACACACGTCACGTTACGATGATCTGGCTTAAAAACAACCACAAACTCCAGACCAAGTCCCAGACCAAGGTTCTCTCTAGTGGAGACACCTATAATATCACCAGCACTGTGTCTGTCCCACTGAACAAAGAGGATGTGCTATCCTTTGTCCACTGTGAGGTCAAGCACAGATCATCATTGCTTCTCCAGAAAAACATCAGCCTAAGCCAGTACCTCCGTGGTAAGAACTTTCCTTCTGTTTGGCTGAGTCAGTTCAGAGGTGGGTAGGATACTTCTCTGATTGTCAATTTTCTCTCTGAGAAAAGCTGTCACTTGGCTGTGCAAGGATTAAATAATTAACACCTGTAAAGTACTTGACCCAGTGCCAGTGGCATACTGACCAGGCAAAGATGGTGTTTGCTGTTAGTTTTTGTATTATTATCAGAAATCCCTTCCTTTGTTTGCTATATCTTTTGGAAATTTAATTTTATTATTTATATTAAGTGTTCTGTGAACTTCTAAACTTCAGAGATTATGATGGTATTAGATTATTACTTCTACATGGATATGAGTCTAACTTTTGTTGCTTTTGCTTGTTTGGTTTTCCTGGGCTGCACCAATTCTTGGAAGATCTGTAAAGTCATAAAATATCACGCCTAGAAAAAATCATAGTGATTATCTCAGTATTTCTAACAACTCTAAAGTCCTGATTAGTGAAGTGGGTGGTCCAAGGTTGCATACTGTAGCAGTAAAGTAAAATCCTTAAAGCATATTGGACTTTAGCATTTGCAAAATATTTTTCTCTTTATTTTCCTATTTACAAAAATAGAGGGACCAGTGTGTCACTATCATAGAAGTGAACATATAGCTTTCCATAAGGAAGATAATGGTATTAATGCCTCAAGCTCAGTACACTGTTCACAAAGCACAGTCATGGGGAACTGCCTTAGTTAATGTGTGTAGGTGCCCTGTGTTGCTTGTCCTGTTTGTTGATTTCAGGGGAAAAATGGAGTGCACAACAACTTTGTAAGTCTGGTAAGTTAGAGGTCTTTTGACATGAGTCCAGACTTCCAGCTCTGCTGTTGGTACCCGTTGTGGGGTTATCTATGAATTCCCCGAGTTCACTATCTTGGGCTGGAAGCTGATAGTGCAGAGGTCTTCCTTATCTAGCTGTTAATTATATAATTCCTTAGTGCTTGGACAGTTGTGTTGAGAAAAAAATAGTCACTGAAAATATGATTAGTCATAAGTGTACTCCTATTCTAAGCTGCTCATTTTTCACACAGCACACAGCTTAGATTGATTTCCTGCCATGGAATGTCTTTGTGGGTGCCTTAGGACTTGGGTAGGGGGAGTTGGGAGGTAATGGTAAGGTTTGGGTTGCAGGGAGCCGAGATGGATTAGTAGGATGGTCAATGAAGGGTGAATTATTGGTCTGGGTGTCTTATGGGCAACTGGGAATATTTTTTTTTTATTTTTCAACAAACAATACACTGCATATATTCTTCTTAGTGGTTAATTGCTGTACAAGATGCGGACTTGTGATCCTATTTACAAATATCATTAGAACAAATCATTCTATTCATTAACAGAATGTAACTATATATCTATCCCAACCTCTTTGAATACATAGATACAAAATGGACATTCATCTGTATACCCCATTTTTCTAAGTTCCGTTATTGAATATTATAGGTGTGTAAACTCAGCAAAATATTCTAAAAGAGTCCAGTAGCCCATAATAGCATTGGGTCTTCTGTTTAACTGGCAATGTCAGAAATTATTGACCTGAGTCAGTGTTTTTTTTTTTTTTCCGGAATGCCTTCAAGGCATGACTGGCTGTCTTGTGTCGTGGGGATCGAACCAAAGCAACCAGAGCCTGACTGCTTTGTTGAAGCAGCCACTTAAAGAACTGAGCTACGGGGCAGGCCCCCTGGAATATTTTGAAGAGCTGTGTACGCTGTGCCTCAGACTTATTCCAGGAACGAGGGGAGGCTGGGACATGACTTCATGGGTGGGAGGCATTTCTTTGTCATAGGGAAATGCAAGGCAGCGAAGTGGGGAGGTGTTTTGGGAGCTGGAGGTGGTACTCTACATGTGGCACTACCCAGCACTGCTGCCCAGAGGTTGGCTGGTGGAGGTGTTGGAGCCCACAAACCCTTGCTGGGGCAGGTCAGCCTGACCCAGAAAGAAGCCTGACAACATCAGATCAAATTATGCAGGCACAACCCACGTAGGTGGCACAGTGAAATTGAGCTTTTGCAAAAGTTGTGTTTCAGGAAGTCGATGCAGATGATCCTGGGCTACTGCTGGGATCACAGGCAAAGCTTTGAGTGGTTAGAAACAGAAGAAGAAGGAGGAAAATTGTCTCTGATGATATTGTGGTACTTCAAAGAGAAACACTTTGATTAAAACAGGGCCTTGGGAAGACAGAACACTCAAATAATTTCAAATAATTTTCAAAATAACCTTTTAACAAAGGTGTTTGTGAATGGGCAATTTAAAATGAAGGATTTGTTGGTGATATAATTTAAATTTTGGCTAAAAATCATGCTAGCTTCCTTGTATTCTTGTTACTTATTTCTCCTGAGAAATGATACGTAGTTGCAGTTATATTCTGTATATAACTAAAACCTGCATTAAATAAATGATTTTGATAATTTAAATAATTTTAAGAATTATACTTTAAAGTTTTAAAATTTAATTTAATTTTATTTTGAAGAGTAAAAACAAGCAAAAATAAATAGAAAAAGACAGAAACAGGGTAACATACAACAATACGTATGTTACCGATTTTCAAAATAGGAATAGCTAATTAATAGTGATTGTTATATTATCTATTTTTATCATCAAATCTATTGCTCATATTAATAGATATAGTTATACAAGATTGGGGAAATAATTGAGTATTGGCACTTGCTTTCAAGAAATCTTAGTTTTTCCTTGCCTCTTAAAATTTATTTTAAAGAGAATAATAATTGATAAGACATTAAAAACAGTACACATTTAGAAGATGAAGATGAGAGGTTTTCAAACATGGGTTTTGTAGTGCACATTGCCGTCCTTGCTGTAGTTGCTCAGATCGCAGGTATCAGCATACAGAGTTAGTCAAGTTGAAAATGCTAAACATTAAATGTTACTTTCAAAAAAACTGATCAAAATTATTAGTACAATCATCTCAGCCATCCTGTATATATACTAGCTATATAGTAGCATGTTTTTCTTACTTTCCTTTTTTCCTCTCTATCATCTTCATTGTTTAATACTTGTTATTTCTTTCTATTTTACTATATCTATAACACCTTTCAGCTTTTTTTTCCCTTCTTTTAGGTTCTTACACTGGGGAGACAATATGACATTTATACATGTGGATCTGATTTATTTAACTTATGAATATAGCATCTAGTAGCATCCACTTACTATGGAGGCTTCAAGTTTTTCTTTCTTTATAGCTTAGTAGTACTCCATTGTATAAAAATACATCTTTTTCATCCATTTTTCAAGTGATGGGCATTTATCTTATTTTATTTTTTATTGAATTTATCAAGAAACAAATAGCAATGAGACAGTTTCAAAACAGGTTAGTAGGACAGTTACAATAATTAATACATTGTATATTGTTGTCTTTGTAGTAGTTATTCATAGTACAAGATGGATACATAATATCAAGTCCAAACAGTATTAGTAAAATTTTTTCTTCTCATTAAATTAGGAGAAAGTGCAAGATGTAGACATGATATCAAGTTCAAAAATTATTAGTACAAATCTTTCTTCTCATTGAATTAGGAGAAAGTAGCTGTATATCTATCCTATTTTGTATATACAGATACAAAATGGTCCTTCATTTGTATCCCCTTTTTTTGTTTAGTTTTGTAAGAGATGGGTATTCCATTGCCATTCAAATATTGTAGGTGCATGAGTTCAGCAAAATAATTCAATATAGCCCAGTAGTTGCTCATTTTTAGTCAGCAAGCATAAGTTGTTAACCATCCTAGTGGTTATCCTTAGGACTGGGAATGTCAGAAGTTGTCGACTTGAGCCTTTTACAACTAAGCATTTTAATATGGCTTTACTTTTTATACCTTGTTTTTATACTTTTCTGCTGGATGGCTAAGACCAAGAAAAACAAGATGTATACAGAAAGAAACATAACTTTTGTCTCTGACAAGTTCAGTCAAATACAATCAGGATTTACCCTGAAACCCTGTACCACATTTTGTAGATCCTTTGTCAGTGTCAGCCATGTGGATGAGTCACAGCCATTGCTTGACCAATTTACTTTCTGTGAAATCCTGAGAGAATGTTTTCTCTCGATGAGACTCTCCTTATGCACACTCTACATCATCGATCACTTTCTTCTGAGGCCCCATAATCTCTTTGATCAGAGAATTTCGGACACAACTGAATTACAGGATATTACAGTACAGATTCTCCTATGTCCTGAGTCTTCACTGACATTGAAAGGCTAGGGCCAAAATATTGGCTATGCTTACAGCCCTCCTTTTTTTCTAATTTTTGGTCAGCAAACTTAAGTTGTTAAACATCCAGAAGAGAAATTTATTGACATTATTACCCTATAACATAGGCAGTTGAGCTTAAACTCACTATCTGTCAGAATATCAAACATCTTAGACATAGCCTAGAGCAGGTATTTTCTATCAAGTATTGATATGTTAGACTTTAAATCCCTACAGAATGTGAAGAAACAATAAAAAATAGGAATAAATAATTACATAATTTTATACAAAAATTTAGAAATCTAAACATATACAGCATTGTAGCAGGACAGTCCTATGACGTTTTTTCTTGTCTCTTGTTTTCATTTATTATCTTTCTTTTTTAAAAAAACAAACATTTACTTGAGAGACAGTATAGCAGTAATTGGTATGACATGACAAGCAGTACATATTTAGAAGACCACAATGCAGGTATTCCAAGCATGATCCTACTATTACACATTGCTATCTTCAGTGAAGTTGCTTAGTTCACAAATATCAGCATATAGAGTTAGTCAGGGTGAGAATCCCACCAATTAACTGCTAGTTTCAAAAACCTGCTGAATATTCTCAGTATCATTACCTTAACCATCTTGTACATATAAATGTATGGTTTTGCCACTGTCATGTTTCCTAGCTTTTGTCCTTGCCCTCTCTTCATTGTTTAATCCTTAAGTTCTCACTTTCCTTTTAATTGTGTTATACTTTCTATTTTTATTTCTTCTTTTAAATTCTTATACTATAG